AAACTTGTATTTCTTTGTTGTTCATATATATATATAATTATTGTTGAATAACTTTTCATTTGCATATTCTTATGAAAGCAGAAAGAAAAACTTTTTACCTGAAATATAATTCCGATGAACTTATTGTTTCACGCTCCATCAGAGACGTTACATTAGTATGTTTATCGATGCAAGTGATATTCCTTGACTCAGTGTAAGGCTTCCATTCATCGTGACAAGTAGCCCATGGAAAATCGGAGGAAAATGTGAAGGAGTTGATGAAGTAGAATAGAGTTATCGCCATCAAAATACAGTAATACGAAGCAACGGAAGTTGTACCAATGATTTGTCCATACCCAATACCTATTGAACAAAATGAGTATACTGGAATAGAATGAAATACTAGAGCCGAAAGCAATATTACAGTGCAAAATAAAGTGAGGTTATTCAAGGGTGATATATTACAAAAAAAATCATTCAGAAGGGCTGTGTCAAACTAGTCTAGTTTTGAGAAATAGAAGTGCATTTTTATTCCGCTATGAATATTCGAACAAAAATAAAAATTGTTACATATTTCAGCAAACTATCAAAATTGTGACGTTTATTTCGGAAAAATAAATTTAAAAATTCATTACTGGTGTTCAGAAATCAGCGAAATGATAAAATGAGAAATTGCAACAGGAAAAATTGTGTTATATTTTGTATCTACTCAGTCAATTATTTTGTTGATAACATTATGAAAAACTGAATGTGTTACTGCATCTCAATTTAGAGCCAAAATATCACGAACCAGATTTATTATGCACCGTGATTTGTTCGTTTCAAATTTCTTTACAGAAATGGTATTTTTCTTTTTGTCACTGTTCCTCAAAATGTTTCAAATCATAACGATATATAAGAGTTATTTATTATGAAATTGAAATATCTCAGTTATCATCAGTTATCATTAAAGGTATCACCTTTAATATTCATCATGAAGTATTTCGCAGAAAAGTTTTCAAATTTCATTCGTACAACTCATCGTTTCCATAACAAGCTAATATTTTCAATCATTACATAACATTTGTAACTTTTCCAAAACGATAAAAAAATATTGAAAATGATGGAGAACCCGCCCTGTTCGTCTCTATATTATTGAATACAACTGGCCAATGTTTGATGAAAATCCATTTCAAAACACACTGTTACAGTATACTGTTATATTTCCACTACAAAAGTTTCGACAAAAACATGACACATTCAGCTAAAACTATATGTACTCGTATACTGTTCTATAATATTTTATACTGTTGTAAACTGGTTTGCAGTTTTCGAATGAAGTTCGCAGTTTACAATGAAATATACCAGCGAGTCAACTCCTCTTTTTAGAATCGTGATTTTTGAAGAATTCAGTTCTCCATTGAATATAAATCTGGGTGGAATGTAGTGCTATAATACGAATTAGATAGTACAGAGTAAACACCTCCGATTCCAGAATAAGAAAGTTTTTATTTTCACTCAAGGAATATGCTCACGGAAATATGAATTCTTTGAATTTTGCACTCAGCAATGATCTAGAACCGTCCAAAACAATTAAGACTATTCCAAATCCTTCTACAACATTTCAGAACATACTGAAACATCTTAGATCACTGTGGAAAGATCAACATAGTTATATGGTGTGGTAACTTACTATTCTCATATGTGGAAACGTTTTTTTTTACCTGAAAAGCATGATTTTGAAGATGAAAAGGCTAGAATCTGATTTTTCGTTAACCAGCTGTTGCCTGTTTATGAACAACAACCCTCAAAAGTCTGAACTAGTGCGGACTGCAGACTAACGAGGTCTTGTTTCTCAACAATTCTATAACATATCAGAATATACGGGAACATTCAGGAATGTTCCAGAATCGTCTATAACATTTAGGAACATCCCAGATCATATGAAAAAGTCGAGAGAACTATATTGTGTAGTAGCCCCCTATCCCCCATTCAAGATGGTACCATTTCCACTCCTGAAGATATGAGTTTTGCCCTCTCAATAGGTAACGTATTCAAAAACACTTCATTGTGAAATATTCATTGAACGATTTTACAAAAGCTTTTTTGTAAAATCGTTTAGTGCAAATCTCACAATGAAGTGTTTTTTGAATACCTTAGTTATGGATTTTCATTGAGTTTCTGCCAATTCCATCATATATCTCTCAATACGTATTTTCAGAACAGTCCAGATCATTCGAGAGTATTCATATGCATTCCACAATATTTCAGAATATACCGGAACATTCTAAAATGTTGTGAAATGTTCAGAAATTACTTGAAACTTTCGGGAACATCCTGGTTATTATTGAATTTTGCAGAACATTTTTGAATACTATGGAAAGTTCTGGAACATTCTAGATTATTCGAAATCTATATTGTTTGGATGCGACTACCCATTGCTTATTCATTACAACTCACACACATTATTGAATCACCTCCTTGACTGAAGGTGGGTACCCTTTAAGAAACTAGTTCTAATGACCAACGATGGATTCATCTGAAGTACTGATGAATCATACACATGACCTTTTATCATGTTTGGAAGAACAAAGAAAGAGACAGACACGACAATTTCAATTTGTGATAAATGAAATAAGTTTTGTGAAAACGATGACTTCTTCAAAAAGTTCTGACAACTCTTTTCAAATAATCCCAAGGCAAATAGAAAAAGCTTCATCATTTCTTGATATCTTTGTCAGTTCCACAGGTTAACCAATTTACTGGTTAATTGATTGTTCTGATTGTTTTGGAAGCGGTACTGCTTGCAAACGCTTCATCAATCACTTTCATCATTTTGCAGTGGGCCGATACCTTCGATTCTCATCGGTTCAGAGTATGATTTTTTTTTTTCATGTGTGATACTGGCTCCACGATACTATATTGACTTTTGTCTCAATATATTTTTTCTCAAGTTTTGATAATTCACTGAAATATTTAAACTCACCTTCATTTGTAGAAATCCCAAACTAATTCGAGTGCAGTTGTTCTGCCATCGTGTTCTTTTCAGATTTTTAAAACTTGTATTTCTTTGTTGTTCATTCGTGAACGATGAAATTGATAAGAAATAAGTTGAATAATTATTTAGCTAGAAAATCACCTTTGAAAACAGGCGCCAATTTTTCATACATTTTCACACTTCCCCGACTGGAGAACTGTCCAAGTGCCATTTCCATGTAATACATTGGTCTTCCAATAAATGTCAGTATTATTAAATAAGGGATCAGGAATGCTCCTCCACCATTTCTGTTAGCAATGAAAGGAAACCTCCAAATATTTCCTAAGCCAACTGACATAGCAATACATGACATGAGAAATTCCAGACCATTTCCCCATTGGACCCTCTCTTCTTTCTTTGAGATTTCCTGTAATGAATGTGTGAATAATTATCACAAACCAATCAGAAATATGATTTTGAAATTTCGAACAACGAACTGAAGTAATAAATCTCCAATGAAGCAATCTGCATTAGTCGGTATACTATTTGGGAGGAAAATGTTTTTGATTTCTACTCCTCCATCTTTATACTTGAATGTACTCTTTCGAGTACATTTAAGAAAGACATTTTCTGTTGTTATCACATCATATCTATACAGTGATCACCATATGTAACGGATAAATTCATTTTCTACGTTATTAGCCATTTTCAAGAAAAACCTTTGAACACGTTTAATTATGTTTTCGAAAAGACACTCTGTGAAAATTGTATGTTTTCTGTGAACTTGCTGAAGAGAAACAGTTTTACAGTTGTTGTTTGTGTTTCGCTTTCAGTATTACTTTCAGACAATAGGCTGAAAGTTCTAGCAATGTCTCATTTAACTGAACGTCAAAAAGTAGAAGTGTTAATACTACTAGGATGTAGGGACAAAACTAGAACCCAGAAGAATGTAAGTGCAATGTTCAATAATAAATATCCTGATCATCACATTACTCAATCTAACGTTAGTAGAATAGAAACGAAATTTCGTGAATTTGGGACTGTCAAAGATATTTCAAAACCAGGCAGGAATGTATTGATTGACGATGGAAAGAAATTGGATATTTTGATTGACATCGAGGAGAATCCACATAAACCAACCCGCCAACTTGCCGCCAATTACGACATAAGTCAAGTTCGATATTGCGTATTTTTAAAAGTGAAAATTATCACCCTTATAAAGTACAATTGGTATATGAACTCAACGAAGACGATACAGATCGCAGAACTGAGTTTTGCGAAATAATGGAAGCCAGGTGTCTGCGGGATCTGTCGTTTAAGATAAATATATTGTTTTCCGACGAGTCAACTTTTTTTTTATGGAACCGTCAACAGACATTACTGTCCATATTGGATCCGAGAAAATCCCCATTGAAGGATGGAGGCCATACTTAATATCCCAGAAAACTGAATGTTTGGGCAGGGATTATGAATAATCGCATCATTGGGTCATACTTTTTCAAGGAAACATTAACCGGTGAACGTTATTTGGAGTTTTTTGACTAATTTTTAGTTCCAACGCTGAAAAGACTTTTTCCAGATAATGATAATCCAAATCTTTACATATGGTGCTCACTGTATACCCATGCATCCTAATTCATCAGACAAACCGAAAATATAAGGAATGATGTTAGTTGTGAGATATGTGTATTGTTGTTGAGTTTGTGATGATTGTGAAGTCTGTATATGTTGTGTATTGCTTTTACCAACTTTATGGAGAGGTATTTTCATGAACTGCTCATCTGAGCAGTTTTTGTTTACAATATATCTTGTTATGAAATTATCTGGTGATCACGCTATAAAATGGACTGAAACAAAAATTATCACTGAAAAAAATCTAGGAAAAATTTGAAAGATAAAATAATCTGCACATATTCTTCAAGCAGGTAACAAGTGTATACCAAATATCCCTGTGTAAAAAGATCGTACCTAGTTACCATCGCTAGGACGAGAGACTGAAAACGGAAATATGAACCTCAACTGAATTCTCAAAAAACATCTACTAGGTATGTGTGTTCATATGAACTATCGCATATGATATCTGAACATTTCATTATTTTGATGTATGTCGGAAGAAACGAAGGTATTTACAATTTCAAACAGAAGTTTTGAAGTGAATTTTGGATTTTGATGACGGCAAAATATCGTTTTTCGAAACGTAGACCAGTAAAAAAAGCTAGGAATTGAAATTTTTTGTTCCATTTACTTTTTATCAATTCGTAGGCAAAATGTATGATTACGACGAGATACTAACTGGACTCTTCTGTGATTTACACTACACAATAACTTTCCGAAGTGAACTTTTCAGTTATTTACTTTTTATCAATTCGTAGGCAAAATGTATGAATACGACGAGATACTGACTGGACTCTTCTGTGATTTACACTACACAATAACTTTCCGAAGTGAACTTTTCAGTTTGTCCTTTATTACATTTCAGCAGATTCTCTTCGTGGACGGTTATATACCAAAGAAAAACAGTAACAAGCATTGAGTTCTTCACAAAAAATGTTTTCGAGTGAGATTCATTCTATTTCTTCTAGATTTTGAGCAACCATTGATTTTTTATCATTGTATATCTATTATCTATGCTATTCGACAGAAAAATACTATGAAAATTGGAAAAATGTAGTACCTTCAAGTCATAAGTTACCCTGCATCATTTTTCAAAGTAATTCATTCTTGTTTTTTCAACCTTTCACAAAACGAAAATAAATCTAAATCAATATGAAATATGCGCAAACGTGGTGAAGGCCATAATTTGAAGTTCACTTTAAAAATTCACTCTGTTAAAAAAACTTCTGATGAAAATCTGCAAAGAGTCAGTACAAAACTAATGCATGCAGCATATAGGTTGACTGGAAGTCCGATGTAGACATGATGAATCAATCTTTCTGTTATTTTTTAAAATTCATTTAATTCTTGTTTTTATCGTAAAAAACATGAAACTTCTGAGTTGTGAGTTTGTATTGATAGAAAATGACAGCTAACAGCGGATAACAAACAATTTGCATAAAAAAACGTCGAACAAGTATGAACAGTCAATGCGATGGTTATTTTCCAATTTTTGTTTCGCAATAAAAATGCGAACATTCGAAAACTAGTTTTTTCGATGTGATCTTTGCCGCAGAATAAAGATAGAAAACTCGAAGGAAGTAAAGAAAACATAATGAAGTCTTGAAAATTTTATGGAATAAATGTTTGTTTTTACAAAAGATTCCTGTCGAATCGAATATTCTGATAAGGTGATCGCTGTTATTGCTGAATAAAATGTCATTATGTATTGAAATTTTGAATAATTATATTGGTATTTCCACGAAATTGTTCTCAAAATATCAAGTTGATGATAGAATCTAGTTTTGAAGTTATCCTTTCCAGTTGGCATTGCAATTCAGAAAAATCAAGAATGACGCTCTGAGCATTGCAAAGATATATTTGAAAAATGGGGTTTTAGGAAAATATAGGTAATTTATCGATAGTTTTCTATAAATGCCTCATTTTCAAATATTTCCCAATATTCCTTCATTAGCAACTTCTCAGTCATATACATAAACTCCTAATGATTATATATTTAATGTATTCGTTCTCATCCAGTTGTAACGATTTGTTACCATTAGTTCACTATTACTTCAGATATGATTGGATGAATTCAGTGGAACAAATAACATTTTTTCACGACTATTCGTTATGGATCCATATTTGGTAAGGATATCAATATTAGCATTTATTCAACGTAAATATGTTCACTTCATTAGTTACCATGAATATATTCAGACAAGGTTTCATTAACATTAACAGCAGTTGGAAATTCTGGGAAACTATGCAATGTAAATTCTGGTGTACGGTGATATTTCTTTTCTCTGATTTTTGAACCAGTCTGAAATTAAAACTAGATTGGGCGAAAGCGTTGATTGGTTTAATCATGAGTTACTGACATTACATTTCTATAAAACTGCTACCACTTCATCGAGATCCATAATCATGGATCAAACACCTCAATAGAGTCGACTATAAAACAAAATATTTAGGAGTTACTATGGATTCAGATCTACGCTAGAAATAAAAGTGAAAATATAACTGAGACACGTTTTCAATATGTAGTTTTCCGTTGCTGGAGGGATCGACAATTTTCTCTACCTAAAAAAATCAAAAAACCGTGCCGAAGAAATTACTAAAAACATTTCAAATGAGCCTCATACCTTCTATTCGAATTTACTATTCAGAGAGTTGAAAATGTCTGATATATCAGACGAAACTGAATATGTTCAACTTGGTCATATTTTAATTCATAAACAGAAACAATTATGAAACAAATGATAGCCATCATGATGCCTGTTGCAAATCAAAGTCCTTCATTTCGATACATTTTTTGAAGAAAAGCGGTGTAGATTTTTCAATGTTTAATTTCCTGAATATGAATTTCGTCACACGTCTTCATTGAAAACAAACAGTTACAATGTAGTTTATAACAAGAGAAAATGTACATGATGAAATTGGCCGATAGTGGATAAAAATCCATGACGTAATTAAAAAAACACTTAATTGTGAGATTTTCATACAACAGTTCCACAAAAACCCAACACGTGTTTCGCCATACAATGGCTTCTTTGGGGGTGTCTTTACCTCAGTAAGAAGAATAAGAGAAAATATACTTGATCCCCGTCTCACTCTCTCAAGATATTTTTGAATCATACCTCACATTAGGTAAAATTGTTCAACTTTAGCTTTGATGGAACCCGTTGTCAACGTACTCCAATCCGTAGCTTTGAACGTAGTCAAAGCCTCGGAACACGTTGAAAGGATTTTACTTTCAATCAAAAACCACCGTGAAAATCCGGAAAAAGTGACAGACGAAATTATAAAGGAAGCTTCTGCTGTTGCGGTGAAAGTCGGACTGGTGAAGGACATTACATCAATGCCGCGTATTACGGGAAAACAACGTCATAGAAGCAATCATCCAGCAGAATGCCCTTCAGAATACTGGAAGAGGTCTTTAGTAATACCATACTTGGATTCGATTATTACCTCCCTTGAAGTACGTTTTGCTGACAAAAACACGCAATCATTCGCATTATCTAAGTTACATTTGGCGCAGATGCAAAAGATGACAACTGAAAATCTGAAACAAAGTTGTGAATCTATTGCCCAGTTTTATGATTTACCGGCAGCAATTGTTTCACGATAGGCTTGATCTAACATATCTCTAACACATCCTGCTTTCCAGAAACGAAAAAAACATTATTGAAAAGATTGATATCTAAAAATTTTGTTTGCTAATATCTATCTTACATTTTCTCAACCTCAGGTTGTTCAACAAGCTGGTAGAGTGGCTGTGTACATTTGAATCTGAAACTTGCGAAGCTCGTCTTTACGATCATCCCATTTCAATATGTCATCCAGTGTTATACCCACCAGACTCACAGAACTGCCATTTGTAATAATTCTATCTGAGGAGAAAACATTTTTTGGGTTTCATTTAGATTTAGTTTGATTGTAAACCAAATCTGAACTTCGTTTTTGGCATCTGCTGTTAGTCTGTTAACTTCAACAAGATCTGACTGTGAATGTAAAAAGACTGAGTCGTCAGCAAAATTCTGAGAAAACGTCATCACTTAATACACACTTAGTTCTATTTTGGAGACATGACATCTATTTTTAAATGAAAGAGACTCAGACCTGCGGCAAAATCACCATTCATTCTTTTCAGGACATATCGGTAATGAACTTATGAGAAAAAATCAAGATATATCCAACTTAATCACTATATGTAGGAAACACTGAAGATAAACGCAGATATAACCAGTGTGATCATCTTCAAGAGGAAGATCAAACTGAACTTCATTTCGAAGATGATCGCTTGGTAATCGAAACACGTGTCGAAGTGTTGAAATGACGGTTTGGTGTTGGGAAAAAACACCAGTGATATGCATTAGTATACACCAAAGGTTCCAAACAGTGCATCACTAGTACTCCTTGGAATCTTCGAAGAAATTTTCCTGCAAACGCAATTGGCAATACAACTGGAAGAGTCGGCCTCCGATTTTCGAACGAGCACACTTGCAGACCGGTTTCGGGCTCCTTAGTCACTTAGTCAGTGCAAGATAGTGGCCATCATCAATGATACTCCATAATTGAAAATCGAAATTCTTTCAGAGTATTTCATTCCTCGTCTTGAGTTGGAGTGAACAACAAAAATGTCACTCCATCTAGTGGACGAGGTACTAACCAACTGCATATCCGAAATTTATTCGATTCCTCTGAAAAAGGACGAGAAACTTTCTCATTAGTCAGGCTATGCTTGAAGACAGGCAGTATACAAATCTAAAGAAATTTACTTTAAATGTTCAAGCCCGTCGGATATGCAGTTGGTTAGTACCTCGTCCACTAGATGGAGTGTCATTTTTGTTTTTTGCTCCAACTTAAGACGAGGAATGAAATACTCTGAAAGAATTTCAATTTTCAATTATGGAGTATCATTGACTTTAGGTCGATGATGGCTACTATCTTGCACTGCTGAGTGGCTAAGGAGCCCAAAATCGGTCTGCAAGTGTTCCCGTTCCAAAATTGGAGGTCAACTCTTTCAGTTGTATTGCCAATTGTTTACTGCTTGTCTTCAAGCATGGCCCACTGACTGATAAGAAAGATTTCCTATATGATATTTGAGGATCATAACAATGTTTTTTCAGGAAAACGGGCAAAATGGTTCAAATCTAACTGGGATAAAGAATTTTAGTATCATTTGAAGAAATTCCGTGGGTATTCGCAACTGTTCGAGAAATTTTTTCAAAATCATATATGTATATTATCTTGAAAGAGAAGACAAGCAAATTCTTCATTCAATTCATCATTTTGGAGAAACATATATGCAGCATTAAATAATCATACATAAGGCTCTCGTTTTCCTTTGAAAAAGTATTTTGATACCGTAATGACTTTCAAAAACTTCTTGTATATGCAGTTGTTGATGAAAATTTGTTACATACATAATGTGTTTGCAAAAAGACGCCAACAATATATGTAATGTGTACTTTTTGACGAGATATTACAGAGATATTTTAGGTGAAAAATGAAAAATATGTTGCCGATGACCACTCAAAACTGGTATCATTACTATTATATTTTCATGATACTGCGATTGGAGCAGAATGCCATTGTTGAAACAAATACAGCTGTGGGAATTATAACATCGGTAAACGTAGATACGAGTACAGTAGTAGGGTACAGAAACAATTGATTGCCACTGGGCATATTTCATCATGAAATATGTACGAATATCGTGTTGTAGATTTGGTGAATGAATAAAATTTGAATATTCACTGAATGAACGAGAAACTTTTGCTGAATGGGGTCACCAAGAAACATTTATTGGATGACTGAATGTAATATTCTTGGGGTTTGTGGCTCCTTTTCAATCATGTAAGCTACAAGATGGCAGAAATTCAAATGAATTTATAATTTTTTTAAAAGATGTGCGGAGAAACTATGACGTATTTTTGAGCAACATGATGAAAAAAATGTGTTTACACTAAATAAAAATGAATGAATTAAATTGAGGTACGTTGAAATTTTTTATTGATTGTTCTACACATCCGTGTTGAGAAATATGTTCGCATTTTCATTAATTAGCTCTATAGTCTATCCCTGTTTTTTGTATACGTGAACTCTAGAGTACAACAACTTGAAAGAATCATAACGTTATCAAAATTATTTTAAGAACTTCTCACCTTTGAATATTTTAATATAAAAAATTGTGGAAAACTTCCAACAAAAAGAAGCAAGCAATCAGTTCCAAAAAAACTCTAAACAATCATTAATCATGGAAATGAGTAACTTTCAAACACAAACTAGAAGAGCAAACCGTATCGAAACAGTAACTTCCATACGAAAGAAAATCACTTTCGAAACAAATGCTTTTATATGAAGACTGAATCATACTAGAACACTTTTCTCTATTCAGTTTGTATTTCAATCATTCGTTGAGGAATTGATTCAGATATCATTCACAGGATTCCTACACAATATATAGTGACACTAACATGGGATACTGTCATGCTCACTGGTAGACATTCGATGTCCCGCGGTAGGACACTTACCTTATCAGCTCATCAGAACCAAATTAATATCTCCTTAAAATATACATCTTTCAATATAAACAAGATTGTGTTGAATAAACCGGAGATAGAAAAACGTTGTTTGATATACTGAGAAGTCGAAACACATATTTTTTTCAAGAAATAACACAACCACTACAGGAAAATGTCAAGGCGCTCTATGAGCGGTGCCTATGCGATATTGGTGATTCACATTGGATTTTAATCGCTGGATATTGAATCCATTCGGGAAAACCTTCTCAGGAAGTTTATACAATAACTTTTTCAAGAGTGTAGAATACTATCAAGTAATGATGATTTCGAGAGCTCATGCATAATTTCAGATTCCATCAAGACAAAGTTCCTCAAATATCTATGACATTCATCCACTTTACAAGCAGAGAACAACTCTCCTTTTCTGCTCAAGCCAACAACCACCAATCATCACTCAAGCGAGTGATAAAACATATATATCAAATTCGAGGAAACTTTAAAATATAATATGGTATATAGAAATAACAATCATGACTATATGACACCATATATTGCGAAAGTATTCTGAGAAATGTTTTAATTATTATACAACAGTAAAAGGAAATAATGAATTTCATTTAGGTGATCAAAATCAGTTTCTTCATACAATGATTTGTATGTTCATACTGAAAATAGTTCTTCGAAATTGTTATCTATTGAATAGGTTAGATGAATATCGAAGAACAATCAACGAATTAAATAAACTCAGTAAAATTCATACATTCGTTTCGTAGAATCAAAAAATGAAACTAACAACACTCTCTATTCGAAATTCTACTTGTTTTGAAAATATAAAAAAGTTAATATCATCATTTCATTACGAAAATGTTTTACCTTTTTTCATATAAATCCATATTTTTCATTCATCCTCATGCATGGAATCATGCATTAATATACCAGAGTTGCTCTGAAGAAGGTAATGTAACGAATCTGAAGCCGCCCCTGATCGATATGCCGGCTGACTCAGCGAACAAATACATGACATCACCGCGAAAGAATGAAGTCGGGAATCACTGGTAACACTCTAGAACAGTACCGACTACAGATTTCTAGAAAGGATCGTTACATTATATAAGCACGGCTTCCCGACCCAAGAGGGCAGTTTAGCGGCTGAACAAGAAATTAAAATAGTGGAAATAATTTAAGCGTTAGTTGCTAACTGTTGTGATAAATACATTAGTTTGTGATTAGTAAAATATTGTTAAAAAAAATAATTGGAGACAGTTAATTCTTTAATTTGTCAAAGGTGGTGTCAGAAGTGGGATGTGTAAAATAGATCTGCGAGCGCTTGGTGTACAATCTTTGTATTGCGGAGAAATTGACCATAAGACTTTGTTCGCACAGATATATTGGTGATTCGTTGTGTTTCGCGAAGTGGACAGTACCGGACTACGGAAATATAAATCTTTCTCACGAAAAATAGAATTGTGAAAGTAAATGAGTGTTTTTGGACTCGATTTAAATGAGTGAGTTTTGTGAAAAATAGAAAATAAGAGACAAAATGTGTTCGAGGACAGTGCGCCTAGTGGACCTGAAAGTCGCCGAATTGAAGCCAGAGTTGGAGGAGAGGGAGCTGGATTGTTCTGGAAAAAAATCAGTACCCCAAAAGAGACTCTGGGATAACTTGACTGAATCGGAAGAAGATCTCGAAACATATTCTTTCGAAGTTTCTGGGGGTGATTTCAGTTCAATAATAAGCAAACTCGATGAAAATACCAAATCGCTGAAAAATGAACTTCTGGAAATTCCCAATAGCTTGAAGTAAGATCTTCTAGAAAATGCAGAAGGGTTAAAGAAAGAACTTTGTTGTGTGGTAAGTCTATTCGAAGAAAGGATAGGAACTATCGAGACAGAGATAGACAAAATCAGGAAGGAAATGAACATCGAAGTAGAGGAAATCAAAGAGGGAATCGAAGATGAAATCGGGGCAGAGATGAAGACAATGAAAAAAAAAATAGACTATGAAATAGAAGGTGGATTTGAGGCAGAAATCAGTAAGATGAAGGAAACAATTAGCAAGTTGCAAAACCAAATCGTTAATTCTGTCCACACCGCAGAAACTGTTACCGAAAACTC